TGGACGAATTATGGGATCATTTCGAAGCAGATCATGATTTGGATGGTGGATTTTCCTGCACATGTGGACTGGCATATGAACGGATGCCGGATTTTCTACGTCATTATATTGATTGCCCTGTTGCAGCTACCGACCTGCAAGATCCTGTCCACGAATCTCCTTCTCAAAAAAGGATAAAGCTTGAATCGAAGCACCAGGGAATTGTAGAGCAGACAAGGATACCAACGGAAAATGGCAGCTCTCATTCTGAACTTTTGCCTAATGAGGAAGGCGGTGAGGTTTTTCATAAATATCGACATCCACCCGTTTCACCTATTATTGGCCCAACCAATGATAAACCTTTTGGGTGCCCTAAATGTCCCAAGGGCTTCAAAAGTAAGTCTTTGCTTGAGCAGCATATGCATATTCATTATCCACCTCGTTACAAATGTCGATGGTGTGGAAACATGTATAGGTGGCCACCTGTTTACTACCATCATAAACAAAAATGTAAAAAACGTCCAGGATTTATGCTTGATGACAGAAACGGTACATCTGCCGTGGTTTCTCTTCGGAACTCTCCAAGAATCGGCAAGCTTTGTCATCGACGTCCTCTTTCTCCCGCTGACGTTCCTCTCAATCTGGAAAACGGTCATCCCAAACAAAGTGATCGTCCGGTAGCAATCGAGGCAGAGCCATCACCTCTACCTCAGACCATTCCCAGTATTGGATCCATATTGCCTACAGATGTTCTTAAAGCTTCTGATCCGTCCGTCAGCATGCCCGTACAGGGTAGGGTAACTTGCCTTTGTTCTGAAGTTATGCATGATTTTGAATCATATTTTGAGCATGTGGCAAAGTGTTCAAAATTTCTTGAGCTTTCGCATATGACTCCAGCTCAACCCTCAGTTATTACTAGTTCATTTCAACCTCCCCCACCGTCTTTATCAAATGTGTCCCACACTTCAGATACAACCATCCCTTCTCCACCTTCCGCCTTTCAGTGCTATACACGCATGCCCTCTCCTCCATCTGCAGTTTGTTTAGATCTTTCCTACCGAAAAAGAAAACGTGAGTCATACATTGCTCGAGTAAAAGCAAATAAATTCACAAAAGGTGTCGCTGATCAATGCCAAATGAATGCCGATGGATCTTTTAGATGCATAGAATGCAACAAAGACTTCAGCTCAAAATTATCGCTCAAACAGCACATAGATGGCAAGCATCGACCCGAAGGGAAGTATCTTTGCTCAAGTTGTGGCAAGCGTTATCGATGGGGAGCTTCGTTCTACTATCATAAACGAAACTGTGTCCACTCAGAAGACTTGCCATTGACGAGATTGCCTCTTGACCAATCTACGCAGCAGCAACAACTTTTGGAACACAACGCACTTGCTGCTAGCAGTTAGCTTACCATTGAGTCTATCAGGTAAGTCCTTTGAGCATAAGATAATCATTTTACTCTGAGCTGCTACAATCAATCTTCAATGGCTAAAATGACGTGTCGCGTTCTTTTCTCTCGAGTTGATCTATCACTAACTTCGTTTCCATTTGTGCGTGCCTCTAGCTCCGGTGTTATTGAAATTCTGCCTTCTATCTTTTCAACTAACTGAATATAATTTATTCAGATCTTTTTGGTCTCCTGTACACAATCCACTTTTCACCTTTATGGGCTACTGCTCAAAATCAAAGAAGTTCAATCGCGAAATATTCTCCTGCAATAACATGAAATCGTGCCATCCTACTTTAAGCTAACCCTTTTTCAATCCATACCAAATGTCGGTTTATGCCAATGTTCAGGTTATTTACCGATTGCTATGCTTATCACCAATTCGCCTATACCCGCAGGCCATTATATGAACTACTATTCCCCATTTTTGAATTTCATTTACCTGGTTAATGTGACTTCCTTAAATGCTATTTTCTATGAGCATTATTTTTAATAAGCGATTTAAAATTCATGTCTGTACATTAACTTTTACTTATTGCCACTCCAATCAGGTTCACTCGGCTAAAAACTACTTGTGTATACATAATTTTCCTGAGGGCCTACCTTCAATTCCTTTCTTTGTTATCCTAGTTTGCCGAGCCTTTTAGTATCTGTACGATTTTATTTTCTTATTTAGGACCATTTTCTTCTTGAAATTGGTTCCTCATGCACCACTCCGCAAGTGACCAAAGATCGTATTTGCGTGCTTCAAGTAAAGCATTTTCTACTTCATTTTTTAAATGTCCAAAACTGTATGAAATACTGCCATTCCCCTTCAATTTGCTAATGCACATACATGCACTAGATTGATAAATTAGGCCCATGCACTCTCATTCAATTGATTGTCGATATTCTTGGAAATCAAATGGCTCTAATTTACTATAACACTACATGTTTTTGTGCCATCTATTATTATTCTTTCTATTCTACTTTGCATGCGCTTGACATTGTGCCTTCCTCTTGGTTTTCTGAGTGAAAAAAGTGGCTTCACGTATTGCTTTTCTTTTCCTCTGCTATCTTCCAACTTTTAACTTCACTGTTTAGATGCGTACTGTCTTAGGCACAGTTATTCTCTAAGACAACTTAGTCCCTTATGAGTGAATCAGAGGCCATGCTGTGTGCATACAACCAAACTTAACCTTAGACATTTTCTAACTGCGTTATAGGCCTGCTATTCTCCGTAGGTGTGATGGCTGCCGGCTGTTTACTGTTCACATTACATTTAGACAATAGCTAATCACGTTTAATGCATTGGAAAGAAATATTTCACCTCAAAGCCCCTTTAACTTTTCGAGTGCTTGTGTATCCTTTGTACAGTTAGTCCAGCTAATATGCTATGCCATACCACCTTAGGATTATTCGTCTTCTCATTTGCTCTTGATCACTTGTTAATAGTGTGGTAATTTATCTTTGAGAGTCGATCCTTTTTCTTTTTGAAGACTGCTCATTTTTGTGCTTATATATATATATATATATATATATATATATATGTGTGTGTGTGTGTGTGTGTGGAAAAATTGGCATCGTTTTGACAATATTCCTCATTGAACGTCGCCTGCGAGCATTATAACTGATTTCTTTCAGACTCGCACTCATATCAACCCATTTTCCTCACTATTTTTCACGTACTATTGCCTTGATTTGTCAATGCCCTTCAACCCTTGCTAAACTCCATATTCTTATTCCCAACTTGTTATTCTTGGCTGGATTTACTTTGAAATTGCACATAATTTTTCGTTTAACTGATAGCCAATTTTTATACAACAAATTATATTGTCCAAAGATAGGACTCAAGTAACCTCATGTGTAATGAGCATCATCATATATATACATAACTATGTATATATACATATACAGTGATTGCACCGCGGGGATTGGAAAGCGCTGTTTTTCCCAAGTCTTCAAAGTTTACGTATTCCTAAACGAATAAACAATCAACAAGATCATTCCCTGTGATCTGCTGTGGTTTTTATTTTAATGCCATTGTTTGCCTTAAATTTCTGAGTTTTGGGTAAATGGTCGGGAACCTACTTTACTACGGTATTACTGTTACGAATGTTTATTTTTCCCCAAATTTCATTATTTCCAGATGTAAGCTATTGTGCAACATGCGATTAGCATAATTTTTTCAAAATAGACTTGAAAGTTTACACATTCTATTGACCAGTTTACTTTTTTGTAGAACGACGAGACGGGTTATTAACTGTTAAATTACATATCTACATGAAGTGTATCTAAATAAATACAATCCATATAAGTATTCGGGTATTTATGGGCCGAAAAAGCTGAATGTCTTCTAGGTATAATAGCATTTTAGCAGATGTGTTCTTAGCCTTAAATATACTAAATTCTTAACTGTAATGTAAATATATCTATTATTATAGTTTGTTATTATGTTTTTATTATACTTTATCAACGTTATAATATGTTTTATTAACACTAACCTACTATATTTTCACTTGAGTCCTCTGGTAATCATATTGTCTCTGCTCTTGTCCGCTTATTTGAAAATATTTTGCATTTAATTATTAATCAAAGGTTCTTTGAAAATTTTATGATCGATGTCATTTGCATTATTGGAAAAAAGGATACTTCTTTTTTTAGGTAATTGCATTGGAAGACTCCGATCCAATGGTAAAATCTTTGGATCACGCATATTACATTATTTCATCTTTAGCTAATCAATTCTAAAATATGGTTTAAAGATTTTCCTATAGCTGATGCATTTAGCGATACCCTAATGATTGTATAGTTTCTATGGCTTTATCTGGAGCTGTCTCAGCCTCAGCTGAAGCAGATCCCTTTATGTTATAAATATGTATTATTTAACCGCTCTTTCGTGATATATATAAATCAACCCTTGTATTTGCTTAGTTTTTCTTTCTAATCTGTTTATATATATATATATATATATATATCATGTTGACCTCAACCTAAGGGATATTTTTATTATCCAGAATATATCTCTGCCCTCGTACATTATTGATTTCCATAACCATACATACTTTTCCGAAGCATGAACCAAGATTTCCAGAACACTACAGGCTTTTTACGGCTTCTGAGAATTATGACTACACTACTAAGGTAATCTTATTGCTCTTGTGACTAAGCTAAATTCCATTGAATTAAATGCTTGATCACTGTATCATATCATGGTGCCAAAATGGGGTTATTTTTGGATCTCAAAGATTGAGATGGATTAGATCCACTGTTTTCGCTTATCCATTTTTGGTAGGGTCCATTAAGATGTCCTTTATTGTTTCATTTATCGAACTCTGTATTTAAGCTGATACGGAATCCCAGTTTATTAGGTAAATCCACACATTTTGCCTTAATGGAAGGATATTTGCTTTGAATAATGTTTGTAATCCATTGTAGTTTAAAGATTTTGTTAGTGTTTTACATGGTTTATGAATACTTGGCATTCAAGAAGTCCTCTTAAGATTAATTTTCAAATCCACAAATGTTTATTTGACGCATTTTTGGACCACCTTATAGAAATCCAAATTGGGGCGCAGAAATAAATTTACTATCATAACTTATGATTATAACTTTACAATGAAGCTCATTTTTTATAGAGGGTCTCACAAACACTTCCAGTCACCAAGACTAAAGATATCTCGGTGATTGTACTATGATTGTATTCCATTAATTGGAGCGATTGCTGCTATTGCCAATTGTCCTTAATTTATCATGTGGTGTCCACGGTTCTTCTTACATGCATTGTTTTATCTTGATGCATTTAGCGGTACACCAATGATTTTATAACTTCTATGGCTTTATCTGGAGTTGTCTCAGCCTCAACTGAGGCAGATCCCTTTATATTAGAAATCTGTATTATTTAACTGCTATTTCATGATATATATATAAATCAACCCATGTATTTACTCAGTTTTTTCTTTCAAATTTCGTCTACATCTACTGATATGTCGTTTGCAGATCTCCTTTATAAGTTCAGTGCAAGTAATGTGTGAGTCTGGATTTTTTATTTTGGTAAGGTTGTTAAGGTTATTGAAGATTTTTAACATTGTTTTTACCTAATATTGACTGATTCGTAGACCTGAATTTTGTATGCTGCTGAATAGTGCCCACTGTATTATTGGGCTTGAATATTGTTAAGTAGGCCACTTTATAAGGAATGAAAGGCTTGGACTTTTCAGAGTCTGGCTAGCCGCTGGAATATTTTTTCCCAATTATAATCTTCATTCCATGCTTACATTATGTTGCGATGACGTCCTTTTTAA